TTGAAGAACTCCTCCAGAACCATTTCATAGAGTGCTACATACGAGTAGATGTGGGTATGGAGAGCTCGCTTGTAGTGTGTGCATTTCAGGATTTGCCTTGTTGTGGCAGTACCATACACATCTGCTTCCATCCAGGCATCATCTATACCTGAGTTCTCCATGGAGGCGCCAAGAGCTCTGAGGGCAGCCATGACGACATGCAGCTCACCCAGTCTGGGAACAACCATCTGTTTCAGGTCAGGTCTGCCATCTAAGAGCCGCACCACCTTCTCATAGAGGGCCATGTCAAAGGTAATGACTGTGGGGTGATCTTCCCCAACTGCCAACTTCCTCAGCTGATTTGCTAGCATTATCACAGTCAACAAAGTTGACCACTCGTGTGCCACCTCTGGCAATAGTGGCAAGACTCCAACCTATGTCAAGGGAAGGCTTTCAGACAACAGTGAGTTGTATCCTGCCCAGCCTGGAATATTTGAATTTGAATGAATTTATAGATATTTTATATTTATCTATATAAGATAATGGTCTATTATAGAGTATTTGATGAAAAAGAATCAAATAAATTTGTTTTTGTATACTTAAAAAAACTTTGCACATGTCATTTTCGACCGACTCATGCATCGAAGGGTTAATGTTGTAAAATGTAGTACCTTTGTAACTACCATCATTGGATTCCTTGACCCTGAAAATGTGGGTTTAGAAGTTCAAATCAATGTTCCAGCTTATTTAGAAGCCGAGATATTACAAAACCTACATTTATGGCGGCCATTTTGGAAATTCCAATATGGCCGCCATATAGACATCTGAGCAAATGGAAACATTGATTTTCTGAATCCTTATACCAGTGACCACCGACTGGCGGCCCGCGGGCCACATCCGGCCCGCCAGACATTCTCATCCGGCCCGCACGACGGGGGTGACTGCGGCGCACTGTGTGCAGTACCGGAGTCCAACAGAGAGGCAGCAGCTGCGGGACAGTAGACTGCGTACTGCAAAACCTTCCCTGTCTTGAAGAAGAAGTGATCCTTCGTTGTGAAGAGTCTGGTTTGTGCGCTCCGCACCACAGCAGTAGCCCTGCTGCGACAGAGTCCAACAGAGAGGCAGGAGCTGCGGGACAGTAGCCTAGAAGCAGGGTTGGGTTGTAACGGAATACATGTAACGGCGTTACGTAATCAGAATACAAAAATCAAGTAGGCTAACTGAATTCAGCTGGCGTTACATTTGAAAAACGAGTAATCTGATTACAGTTACTTTCGTAAACCTGAAGTGAATACATTTTGGATTACTTATTGGAATTATTGGTGGAAAAGTTTCCTCACAAAATGTAATATTCATTACCGGCAGAGCTGTGTGCACACTGCACAGCGCTGCAGCATGTCTGTGAGCGAGAGAGATGCAGTGTGTCTGTGAGGCCCCGCCCCCGCACGCAGATGAGTGAGAGAGATCTCTTTTAAAATATATTGAAAGTTAGAAACGGAGATGGTTAGATCAAATGTGCAAGATAACGTTTATGTAGCATTTATTTATTGTCGAAATGATGACATTTCATAACGGGATCAAATCAAAGTGAATGGCCTGCTGCTGCTGAATGCATGGGGCAAGTGACTGGAAACAGTTTTAAAAGTTATAACATCGTTTCAGATAATAAATAATAATGATAATTCATTCTATTTAGGGGCGCCTTTCAAAGCACCCAAGGACATCTTACAATTCATAACATATTCCAAGGAAAGGTTTTAAGGCAGTACAAAGAATGCAGTCTGGGTGATGTTTTTATACGGGGTGCAGATGAGAGGGAGCTGTCCAGAATGACACCAAGATGTTGTGTTTGAGTTCTTGATAAGCCATTAAAACAGTAAAATACGTGTCTCCTGTTCACCAAAACATACCCATCTGTTATGGAGAAAGAAAGTATTCAAAAAGCATTCTAAAAGTAATCTGAATACGTTAAAGTAGACCCGATTCCAACGTTTAAGACACGTAACTGTAACTGTATTCTGACTACTTTCAGAGCCATGTATTCAGTATTCAGTAACTGATTACAGAACACTCAATACCCCCCCCCCCCCCCCGCTTGCCGCTTACATAAGGATGTGACCAGCTGTGGCTGCCGGCCATGCACGCTGTGATGGGCGGGGCTGACACACAGCCAGGTCAGGACACTCCGCGTGCACGTGCAGCAGCGTAGCAGCCAAATTAATAATATAGCGACAAGCGGGAGACAACGTGTGACTTACTCGCTTGGAATTTAAAGTGAAATGGAATTGGTTACAAAACCTAACTACACATCTCGATTCTCCGGTGTGGCAGTATTTTGGATTTTAAACTACACCTAAAACACAAGCACCCCATTCCGTTTTCCCAGCTGGTAGCAAACACAGCAGCTAGAGATGGAGAGCCCCCACCTTCCCGACAGTTTCATTTGCAATGTTCAATAAAAAGTTATGTTTGAAAGGATGTACTTGAATTATTATTATATATTATCATTATGTCAGTGGTCTAAAATGGTCTTACAACGGTGGCGACAATATTATCGTTTATCGCAATAATTTCCTGGAAAATGTATCGTCCAACAAAATTAATTATCGTGACAGGCCTATACATTATTCAACAGTTTACAGTAACTTCTGATAATAACACAGGGGAAATAAACGAGGCATCTCTCTCTCTCTCTCCCTCTCCTGACAGCCCTTCAGTATCAGGGTTTGTCAAAATGAATCCCTTGGAGGTTCTAGTGTTCATTTACCGTTTTGTCTTCTCTTTGCAATGCTTACTCGATTTGAAACCAAGTCTAACGTAGCTTAAACTTAACGTTAGCTTTCTAGCTAACACAACACATGCACGCACCTTTCTCTGTGGTTTTTTTTGTAGTGACGAATGAAGTTGGATGTTGTGGTGGTCGTGTCACTGATCTTTATGCTGCAGACCCTGCATACCGCTGTTCTCTTCTTATTACCGTCATCGACAACATAATCCTTGAATCCAAACTTCACTATTTTTGGAGTAAAGCTAGCCACTGCCATGTTAACTGACACTCCTGCCTTCTAGTGGGTTGCCAGGTTTGCGCGCATAGAGCTATAATCACCCAATCACGTTTTTCGAAAAAACTAAACGTAATATCTCAATACAAAAACAAACGCAAATATTTAATTTTAAACAGTCAAGTCCTTTCAAGTCATCTGTCTCAAGCTTAAGTCAAGTCTCAAGTCATGAATACCAAGTCAAAGTCAAGTCAAGTCTTTTATCAATGTTAGTCAAGCAAGTCTCAAGTCAAAAAATATGCGACTCGAGTCAAGTCATGTGACTCGAGTCCCCACCTCTGCAACTGGGGCCTCACCAGATACCAAAAGTTCAAATGAAGGCTTCAATATATGGAGGGGGGCTTTTGAATGGAAGCTACTGAGAGGCACTCTATTATGCCAGTATTAAATATTCTTGCATTGGATATTTTTGAAGCCCAAAGTCTTATAAATGTAAAGAGTTTCCAGAAACCACCTCCTCTTTGGCTTTCTCTTTGACAAATCTGTCTACAAGTCATTGAAGGTGTTCATGTGCCTCACGGCCCGTCTACACTACAGGCATCAAAAAATCTTGAAGCTGGGCGTGTCTGAGGCTTGGCGATTTCTCGCGACCAACAACCAATCGGGAATCTCCCGCCCGCCCCCGGCATACAAAGCAATAGCAATGTTAAAACGAAGTAAACTGGATATAAAATCCCCAAACAGGCGAAAACCTACCAGTTTCACCCACTGTCTCTGCCACCTCCCTCCATGCCTCGCTCCTCCGGTTTGTATCCCGGTAGATGAACAGAGACTGATCATACAGCACCGGGTGATTCACTACCGCTATAATGAATTTTCCCTCCATTTTTTTGAATATGAAGAAATGACCTGCGTAGTCTCTCCCAGCATACACGCGGTTTGATTGGCTAGCGCTTGTACTGTCAGATTTGCATACGCGGGATTTGATTGGCTGATGCCAAGCATCGAGCCTCAAAAGTTGAACATTGTTCAACTTTTGATGCCGATAGATGCTCGTGATGCTTGCAAAGCCATGCCATGCTCCCCACAATGCAGTTCGGCGAAGTTTAAAAATCTTCTACGTCACCCCATTCAAATGAATGGGCGAAGCGTTGAAAGCATTTTTCGATGCCTGTAGTGTAGACGGGCCGTCAGTCCACAGTGAAGCCCACAGCAAATAAAGATGTCACTGTTTCTAGAACCATTTGTAAGAATCTTAAAAGCATTGAATATCCCTTTGTGGCTGCTCGGACATTTCCTGGAACCTTTTTTGAGGAAATAAGAAATATCATCTAGTTCATTAAAGTGAAGGAACATAGTATTCATTTAAAATACATTGAGAATATTATATCAAATCAAATCAAATCAAGTTTTATTTATATAGCACATTTATAAACGATTTTTGGTCGAGCCAAAGTGCTGTACATATAATAAAAATAGCCTACAGTAGAGACACTTTACAGCAAATACAACAGCACAGATTGTTCAGAATATCAGTATGAGAAAAACGACACCTTAGACCGATCCCGGCGTAGATATAGATACAAAACAAGAAAAAAGATTTGGCTGGGTTAATCGGAACAAGAGAATACACAGACACGGACAGAGAGGGAAAAGGTCATTGGATAAAAGTTATTCTTGATAACCCTCTAGAAAGATCTCATGAACTTCCCCACTCAATCTATCAAGACCCGAGCAGTTCTATTAGATATAGGATAAGAAACAGAGATATATATATCCCCCAGCCTTACATTGTTGGTTGTCTAACTCAACCCTGTTTTTTTTCAAAATAACTGTAAATGAACTGAAATGACCAAAACAAGCGCAAGTGAACACTGTCAGTTTGAAAGCAGCAAATGGAAAAGTTTGATTTCAGTTTTAAACAATGTGAATACAGGTATAGTGATGTGAGAAGATGACATGTGAGCTCCAGTTGAGAAGAATATAACAGAAGCTGCTCTTGTCTTTCTCCTCCTGTAGTCTGACTTCCAATCAGCGCTGAAGATCCATAATGCCGTGGCAACCAGCATGCATCGACCCTCTCCTCCGTACCCACACACACACCAGGCTCTGCAGCTGGCCATAGAGGTAATTCCAGTTTGAAATCTTATTTCCTAGACACTTCTTGTCGCATCCACACACACACTCACTAAAACATGCACAAACACACACACACTCACTAAAACATGCACAAACACACACACACAAAATAACAGTCCAGGTCAGTGAGTGTTATAATGAGATTGGATACAGAGCAGCTCTGTTGAGTATCAATTAGTGCTCAAACACAAGTGATTGTACACACACACACACACACACACACACACACACACACACACACACACACACACACACACACACACACACACATTCCTATATGCCAACTCTTTTATTTTGTAATAATATGTGTAGGCAACAGCCTGTCAGTATAGAGTGGTGCAGTGATGACGTATTTTTGTAGGAAGTTTGTATAGCTAAGGGCTCCCTCAACAAAAAGCAGTGGGAATATTGCCCAAATTAATCTCTGTGGCAAAAAAACCGTTTATGATGCTTATTTAGCCACTTGTTAGCAGCCACAGTTTTTATAACGCATAGAAGCTTCAGAGATTCAACTGTGTGGGATCTACTATTGTTATGTCGTAAAACAAAATGTGAAAATCCTGTTAGCCTTTGTTAACCACAGACCTTATTTGGGTAGTTAAAAAAACAGTTGACTTTGAAACAAAGGTAACGGAAATGGTAACATGTGTACTTATGCCTGGGTTTTGAACTCATTCCAGCACCACTCTATAGAAATGTATGATACCAATGACTTCATCAGAAAGACAGATCCAAAGCTTTTGGACTTTTGAAAGGTTTCCAAGCATAGTAGAGAATATTACTTTGTAAAGTTCGATACCTGGTATCATAGGTGATTTACACATGATACCAGGTTCATGATAACCAGATTAAGATATGCCAACACCCATGATGCTAGTACGATCAGTGCTGTATGTTCTTCCTGCCACAGGTTGAGTTGATAAGATATGGCTCATTTCAGTGGCATGTCATTATACACACCTGCTCCATGTTGGCCTCTCCACAACCTTCTCTGCATTTGGCTTTAAAGACGAAAACACTTTCAGACTTAATTTAACCTAACCCACTCAAAGAAATGCCTCCTGTTAGACTCAAATCCTTGTAGACTGGGCCCAGATTTAGATGAACCCTTAGCTGTTTAATTTGAATTATGTTTGGGGCTTTACAATAAAATGAGACAAATGATCCCTTTAAGCTCAGAAATGTCTGCAGCTGCTATATTGAATATGTTGAATGTGTTATTGCTATGGTGACTTTGCCTTGATGATGCTGTGATATCTTATGTTTCCAGACCAGGAGTCTCATCCAGACGAGTCAGAACAAAGATGGACTGGAACTACACAGCCTGCTGTCAGACACACACATCCAGGTACACAACCTAAATCACAACCATATGCACAAACAACTTTACTAATACAACCACACACACATAAACATTCACACACAACTATATGTACACACCCACAAATCCTGGTTCACCATCTCACACAACCACATACACAACCAGGTACACACACACATGCACGCACGCACACATACATATACACACACACATAACCACACACTAAACCATGCACACACAACTGAACACATAACCACATGCGCACACACACTATCAAACACACGCACACAGACAAACCCACCCAGGTTAACACACACAACCACACAACATAAGAAACATGCACACACACTGTTTTCGGAAAAATCCTGTTATACTATGACTACTAATGTTTGTGTGTATGTTGAATGCTTGTGTGTGTGTGCAGTCCTTGCTCCTGGCCCATGACAGGATAGCAGAGCAGGAGATGCAACTTGAGCCGCTGCCCACCCAGGGAGAGACCCTAACCCAGTTGGGGGGGGAGACTGTGAAGATTGTGCGCATAGAGAAAGCTCAGGACATCCCACTGGTGAGGAGAACACACACTCACTCTGTATCAATGAGGAAAAACCTATATCCCACCATGTTTACACTTAAAGTGCTCAGTTAGAATCAAAAGGCTGTAAATACCACAGGGAGTGGGTCATGTCCATGTGTGTCCATCATCCCGCTGCTCTGTGTGTCCTGCAGGGGGCGACGGTGCGGAACGAGATGGAGAGTGTGGTGATCAGTCGGATTGTTCGAGGTGGAGCCGCTGAACGAAGCGGACTTCTGTCAGAAGGAGATGAAATCCTGGAGATTAACGGCATCGAGATCAGAGGGAAGGATGTCAACCAAGTCTTTGATATTCTTGTAAGTATATCCAAAGAGTTCTTTGATGGAGTAATGAATAAGATCACTTAGGGGTGTAACAATTAGTCATTGTTTGTTTCAAACTCCAGGTGTTTTAGTGTCCGTTTGGGACTGCATTATCTGCATTTACATCTTTATATACTTATTATAAGAGAGACCAGGCCAATAATCGGTCGACCCCTACCATGAATGTGTCATACCCACTTAACAGGAAGAAACTCAGCTAACTGACGATATGAACCATGTTTACCGAAACAAAACACAACTCTAACGCCGAGCCTCTGAATTAGCACTAAGCGAAAGAGTGCTGACGCACTTAGCACATAACTCACGGTATAAATATGTTATACTTCATCGGATCTGCAATGTCTATCATAAAGCTGAGATTCCACAGATTCCAATGGTATAAGTGTCATCACTCCACGACCAAAACTCGTGGCAGTGAAAGCCAGCAAAGACAACACACAACTTCACTTTACGTGGCCAAAACGGCAAATACGTCTTACCTTTGCTGTTTTCTGATCAAAGTTGTGTTCAAGGGCATTACAACGCATATAAACGCTGCTGAAGGTTAATCCAATGTCTCTGTGTCACTTTGAAATCATTACTGATAATCCATCATTCCATTTTGTCAATAAGAGCAGTTTTCATATAGTGTATGCGAGCTGTAACCCAGCTTCCGGCTTTGGGCATGCTGGCTGCTCTCATTCATCAATGGTAATGTTTGGATGGATTTAGGAACTCCCTCTCGATTCTATTGGCTCTAACGGTTCAAAAATGGTGTCAATCATCAAAATCGGCCCATGGGTTCCAGAGATATGGCAAATCCACCCAAATGACCCCAGAGGTGTTTTTTTTCTTTCTAAACCTCTCTAAAAAGGTCAAATGTCACTTGTTTTGCATCAATCCTGATACAGGGTACTTATTATATGTTATAGTTTGGATTCCTAAAGCTTTTAGTCTACCATCCCATCATTCAAGGGTGGTTTTCACTAGAAGCAGGGGTGCACATGACCTTTTTTAGTGAGTTATTCAGATGAGTACCAGGAGACAGCGTTTGGTACTCACCCCACACGAAGCGTGGTCCTCCTCAGTGTCTCCTTCACTGTCCTCTATTGTATTTACACTTCTTGCATGCTAGATGATGATGATGATGAAGATGCACCTGTCTCTTTTTAAGCCTCCGATTTGCTTTCTCCAAAACTTGTTGCCAAATCTGTGAAGTCCTTGCATTTCCTGAAGCCAAGAAATGATCACATGACTTGAAGTTATATCTGATTTCAGATGTGGGAAGTTACTAAGTACACTTATTCAAGTACTGTACTTAAATACAATTTTGAGATATTTGTACTTTACTTGACTTTGATGCTACTTAGTACTTCTTCTCCACTACAGTTCAGAGATAAATGGTGTGGAGTAAATCCACAAGCTGCCCTGCAGTCTACAAAGTCATTCAAACTAGCTGCACCTTTACCAGCTTTGAGAACACTTTCATGATCAATCATTATAAAACATATCATATATATTATTATGAAATGGACCAATCTGCACAATGACTACTTTTACTGTCACTACTTTCACTATATTTTGATGAGAATACTTTTCTAATTTTACTTGAGTAACATTTTGAATGCAGGACTTTGACTGTAACAGAGTATTCCTACACAAGATCTGATTTCAAACTCTTTCATAACACCCTGAGGAAGTTTGCAGCTGTGTGTTTCACTCCACTTTGTTGTAAATCAAACTGCAGCAGCTTGACCACAGAGCGTGAACGTTGTGATCAGCTGATTCTGCGCAGTTATCCAGTGTGTGCGCGGGGCACAGAGTGTGCTCAGGGGAGTCTCCCACTGCAGCCAGTTGGCGGAGTTTTGGCACAATTCTGTTGTTCATACCGACGTTAACCCTGTCTGTGCACACGGCGACCAACTCTGTTGTCCGGTGATCTAAGCCTCTGCCTCCTGTAAGCTTCACAGGTCCGTCGGTTTTGTCCTGCTCGCTCAGCTCCAGTTCAGTCAGTCACAGAAAGTCCGAAGAGTTTTAGCAGGGAGCGAAACGGCAACGTAGCTGCTTAATGTCTTTGTTTTTTTGACATGTCTCGTAGTTTACTCCATTGAGTGTTGACAAGAAACACGTGTAGACGACATATGTGTTTTGTTTAGATGTTTTGAGGTATGCAAAGGCGCGTAGTGACACAAGTGACGTTACGCAATTCAGATTTGTGCTGCGCATGCGTACCTGCGTACCAGTTATGTGCACCCTAACTATAAGTGATGGTTTTTTTTGGACGGAAACTATAATTTAATTTGTTTTACTATGTTAAATCTGAATTTACTTTAAAATAAAAGCATCTATTGATTCTGACTTTCTACATCCAACTCACAGGTGTATCATTGTATCATGTATCATCAAAGATCATTCATTTACCCCTTTTTTTGAAGATATAGTCATCTGTTCTGGGAATGTCATTTTCTAACCTGAGACCTGAAAAACAGGCTCAGGGCTTAACAGGTTAATGAAAGCCTAACCTTTCTGGCCAATATTCTCCCTGTTGTTTGCCCTGATGTGTGAACTTTAAAGAACAATTTGACTTGTTCTGGCAAAGGCAACTGGATGGTATCCACCAAAATAAATATGGATCACCCTTGGTTCTTTGTATGTTATTCTTATTCAAGCACATGTATCCAACTGCTTATAGCACAATCAGGTTTATTGCCAAGTAGCTCTACATACACAAGGAATTAGGTTTATTGGGCCACAACACAGAGGCAGCCATCCGCAGCGCCACCTAGTTGTTCACCCATCATATTCATTTGTCATTTGTGTCAAGATGATACGTTTCCCTTATCAATTGCGAGTGATACTTTTATTACATATGACAACAGCAAAAGGACCAAAGGTCATTATAAAAGTTAAATGAACAATCCATGTGAGGTTGATTAATGACAAATTATTTTGTGTGTGTGTGTGTGTGTTTCAGGCGGACATGCACGGCCTCCTGACCTTTGTGCTCATTCCCAGCAATCAGGGAAAACCCCCCCCTGTCAAAGAGTCCGTGGTGAGTGCTCAATCATAAACATCTGAGCAAATGTTTTGATAAAGAACAGATTTAGAAAGTGTTCAAGTGAGGTTTGTAAATGTCTTTTTGGATGTGATCTAAACCCAGTCTCCTTCCCTCCTTCAGGTCCATGTGAAGGCCCATTTTGACTACGACCCCTCAGACGACCCCTATGTGCCGTGCAGAGAGCTGGGCCTGTCCTTCCAGAAGGGGGACATTCTCCACATCATCAGCCAGTCTGACCCCAACTGGTGGCAGGCCTACAGGGACGGAGACGAGGACAACCAGCCGCTAGCCGGACTCGTACCAGGTACTTCCCTCTGTCTGGCCATTTTGTCTTTTGGGTGTTTTACTTGTACAGTGAAGGAAATAAGTATTTGATTCCTTGCAGATGTTGTAAGTTTATCAATCTTCATGTTCTTCTTGAGCAGGGGGCCTTCAGGCGCTGCAGGATTTGATACATTTTGGTGTAGTGCAGCAGTTTTCAAAGTGTGAGGCGTGAGGCTGACAGCGTCAGAAAAAAATAACGAGAAACAGTGAAATCAAGCTAGTTAACTTCAGCTAACTTGATGCGAGCGGCAACATGGATTGATTTTTAGTGAAGTTACCTAAAGTGAGAGAGGAGACAGCGTCTGACAGAAAACGTGTGTCACTTGGGGCGGACTGGTCCTCTGTAGAATCTGGAGAATCACAGAACGGCCGGTCGTCAAGGGCCGGCTCAGTCGAGGCTCCCCCTGTTGACAGTTCACTAGCGCTCCCTTCACCTCCACCTACCTGTGTGAGTGCGGGTTGTCCGTATTGACTTTGATCAAAAGCAAGCACCGGTCAAGGCTGCAGCCAGAGGAGGATCTGCGTTTATTCCCGTCTACATTGCATCCCCGCATCATCCGCCTGTGCGCTCAAAGACACAGACTCATTGTTCCCACTAAAGTAGGGGTGAGTGTAATGAGGAGGCAAAGTTGACGTTCAGTGTGTTGCCGGGAGCATATAAGGATTTATCCACCTTGTTAAAAATGTAAAAAAACATAAAAAGGTTTAAAAAAGTTATTGTTTAATGTTTTAAGGAGGTGACGCTACTCAGCCAATCAAATTGGTGCAGTCAGTGAGTCAGCACGATAGATTGAAACACAGAGACGTGACAAGAGGAGAGAAACAGTCGGAGTCATTTCAAATGGCGTGCTCCAAAAAGAGAAAGGTAGACAGCGAAAACAGAGCATAATGACATGTTCTCTTACTGGACCTCTTTGAAATGCAATTGAATGCCCCTGCATTATAGCAACAACAACAACAATAATAATAATAGCAATAATGATTGGGAGGGGGGGCGCGGCTGTTCTTATGTTCTGTGAGGGGAGGCTCACCTTCCCACACTTTGAAACCCCCTGGTGTCGTGTGTTCCCAATAGTTTTCTTGGTGACTGTGGTCCCAGCTGCCTTGAGATCCAAGTTCCTCCTGTGTAGTTCTGGGCTGACCCCTCACCTTTCTCATGACCATCATACCCCACGGGCCAGATCTTGTGTGGATTCCCAGACCGAGGGCGACTGATGCTCATTTTGTGTTTCTTCTATTTCTGAATAATGGCACCAACAGTGGTCTCCTCCTCACCGAGCTGCTTTCTGGTGGTCTTGTAGCCGATCCCAGCCTTGTGCAGGTCTACAGTCTGGTCCCCAAGGTCCTTAGACAGCTCTTCGGTCTTGCCTATGGTGGAGAGGTTGGAATCTGATTGGTTGATTCTGTGGACAGGTGTCTTTTATTCAGAAAACACGTTGATATTAGGAGTACTTTCTTAAAGGAAGAGGACTTGTGTAACCGGTCTGTGGGAGCCAGAATCCTTGTTGGTTGCAAGGGGATCAAATACTTATTTCCCTCGGTTAAATACAAATACATTTTGATCTTTTATTTAATGTCAATTTCTGGATTTTCTTTCTGATATTCTGTCTCTCATTAGTCAAAATAAACCTACCATTACAATGATACACTGTTCATTTCTTTGTGGGTAAACTTACAAAGTCGGCAAGGGATAAAACACTTATTTCCTCCACTGTAGCATCTTAGTAAAACTCTTGATGGTTGGCTGTGGCACTCCAATACATACTCATGTGATCATACTCTTTATTGCATGATGTGACTGTTTTTTGTATTGATATTCTCTCTTTTTTGACCACAGGGAAGAGTTTCCAGCAGCAAAGAGAAGCCATGAAACAGACCATAGAAGAAGAAAAGGAGCCGGAGAAGTCTGGTATGTTGCTCTACTATTTGCACTTTAGAGTTCCCTGAAGTAAGCATCACAAAGGGGTCCCTCCACAAAAGCATTCATTTATGATACGTAAGCAGCAGGATCATCTCCACATATTAACACCATTTCATGCATTTTTAAGTGTAGACGTATTCACCAGAAGTAGAAAGCTAACGTTAGCTATGAGCAAACTCTATCACGGTTGCATGACTTCGCTAAGCTGAAGGCGGCTAATATTCGGATTCTTGGCGTTTAGTAATTTCTTCAGTTTGTGTTATTTCAGGCTTCTAACCACAAATACTTTCAGAAAACCATTGACTTTGAGGCAAGGCAACTGGAAGTGCTAAAATGCTAACTCATTTCTGGGTTTTATGACTCATTCCTGCACCACTCTATAACCTGATGAATAACTATTTTAGGTTTATAACACTGAATTATAGCATAATGTTTATGGTTTGTCAATGTCCAATTATCCAATGACTTTACTGACAGTACACCAGTATGCACCACAAAGCTATTTTACACCAATATACAGTTGAATGTGTATGTTCCTGCATACATGAAATACAATGGGTCTTGTAGCTTAATGTGTGTGTTTTACGTTGTCGTCTCGTTTACAGGGAAGCTGTGGTGTGCGAAGAAGAACAAGAGGAAGAGAAAGAAGCTGCTTTACAACACCCAAAAGAATGATGGTAGGACTTCCTGTCTTTCTGTCACTCTCAAACATTTCATTAAGTATCATTTGGTACCAATTTCAAAACATGTGCTTATACACTGCAAGTATTCCAGTGACACATCTGCATGGACTGCTAGTGGATGTGAAAGAAAGACAACATTCATGGGAATCACATCTTTGTTCTAGAGGAACATTTTCTAAACAGTGTGGTAGTTCTTATTCTAGTGTCATTCATTAGTTCTATATGATCAATAGACTTTAGTTTGATGGAAAGAAAACAGTACATTCTCTAGAGGTCAACAGAGTGTATATCCAGGAATATTTTGCTTTGCTTATGAAAGAAAGTTGTTCAAAACGTTACCAGTTTGTCTAAATGTAGTTTAAACTACAGTTTTCTGGCTTACATCATGATTAATTTGTGTAATATATGTAATCCCAGTATTTATTTAGTCTTCTTACACTTTTTCCTTTGGACCATATATTTGATTAATTCTGTTCTACTCAATTTGCCAGATGTTGACAACGAGGAGATCCTGACCTATGAGGAGATGGCTCTGTACCACCAGCCGGCCAATAGGAAGCGGCCAATCGCACTGATTGGTCCAGGCAGTTGCGGGCAGGCGGAGCTCAGACAAAAACTGCTCAACAGCCAACCGGAGCGCTTCGCTGGAGCCGTGCCCCGTAAGATTACACACACACACACACACACTCATTTGAAACATGCTTTTGTGTGTGTGGGTATACTGACGTGTGTGTGTGTGTGTGTGTGTGTGTGTGTGTGTGTGTGTGTGTGTGTGTGTGTGTGTGTGTGTGTGTGTGTGTGTGTGTGTGTGTGTGTGTGTGTGTGTGTGTGTGTGTGTGTGTGTGTGTGTGTGTGTGTGTGTGTGTGTGTGTGTGTGTGTGTGTGTGTGTGTGTGTGTGTGTGTGTGTGTGTGTGTGTGTGTGTGTGTGTGTGTGTGTGTGTGTGTGTGTGTGTGTGTGTGTGTGTGTGTGTGTGTCTCAGACACCACTCGGAGCCGGCGGGATGGCGAGCTGGGCGGTCGAGATTATCACTTTGTGTCTCGTCAGACGTTTGAGGCAGAACTGTCAGCAGGTAAGCTCTCATGCTAGGGAAGACACTCTAATATCATGCTGTATATACATGGGTTATTTAATATGACACTCTTTAAATCTTCATGTCTTTTTGGGGATTTCCATTAGCTGCTCTTCCACCACTTACGGCCCGTCCACACAGCGGCGTGCGTTGAAAGCTTCACCATTCACTTTGAATGGGGTGACGTCACTTTTCGCCGAACTGCATTGTGGGAAGTGAAGCGGAGCTTTGCTGGCGTGGCTCGCTGCAAAAGTTGATCAATGTTCAACTTTTGAAGCCTCGGCAGAAGCGTCATCCAATCGAATCATATGCCAGTACAAGCTCTAGCCAATCAAACCGCTGCTTGTGTGTCAGGGGCGGCAGATTCATGTGATTGGTTGTTGGTCGAGTTTCAGACACGCCCGCCGGCTTCAACCCACGCCGCTGTGTGGACGGGCCGTTAAAGTCAGACATACATACTTTACACCAGTGCTTCTCAAAGTGTGGTCCGCGGACCACTGGTGGTCCGTGAGCGCCCCCTAGTGGTCCGTGAGTATATTGATAACATTTCACATTTGAAATAAATACATTTATTTAAGTTTTTCGCACTCTCGCGGGAATATCTCCGCAATGAAACAAGCTTAAGTTTCACTTTCGATTGCATGATATAGCCCAGATAAGCACCTTCATCACACATGTTGCCACTTGTTTGTACAATTTTCAGGCAATTTGTAAAAAACGATGTGTTTTTGGATATTTGTGCAGTTAGGTGGTCCGCGAGTGTTTTTTTATTGGTTAAGTGGTCCTTGGTATGAAAAAGTTTGAGAAACACTGCTTTACACACTCTCATTATTCAAAAATGAAGGATGGAAGAAAAAACTAAAATGATCCTTTTAACCATTATTTATTCCTCACAAATGTATAGCACACCTCCACTGCAAATCAAAAGTAATTGAGGACAAATACAGGTAATCATCTGAAAAGACCTTCAATTATATATTTATCCAACCTGCACTTGATAGAAGTCAATATCAGAGTTTGCTTCTTCCTTTGACACTGAAGCACAAAATCAGCAAAGGGTAGTCAAGCTAAATGATCTGACTCATTCAGAAGCCTAAATATAAGATCACCAAATAATGAGAAGTCCTCAAAGAAAGGTTTGGGAACAACTGGTGTAAACTGAGCACATGAAGTACTCATTCAATAAACACAAAGTTGCAAGGTGCCAGGGACGCCAGAGAAGGGCAGGGCCTTAATGTGTGCGGGTGTTTTAATTCCTCCACCCCAACTTCCTGTGCACTTCCTCAGGCTCCCACCCAATTTCTCTATCACGACATACTCACAAGCTAGAAATACCAGCACCACTGTGTCCATGGTAACAAGCTTACATCAAAAACTAATAAGAGCAGTGACACTAGAGTTAGCAAGAAAACAGCCAAGGGTTCACATGTTTAAGTGTCATTTTTCAACAAGAATGAATATGAAATGTTCCTACATTAAATATATTAGCACATCCATTTGTTTTTTGATTGTTTTCTTTATTATGAAATCAAATGAAGTAACGTAAATTAAAATAAATAAAACCCAGAAATTATTTATATTAACATTACAAACTCAAATGAACACATTGTACTGCAGAAATGTCAAATGTCATAGTGTGAACAAATATATTACTTGAAGAAATGTGATAAATAAAATGTTCCTTCTTGTTTTCACAGGAAAGCTGATTGAGTCTGGAGACTTTGAGAAGAACATGTACGGGACGAGTTCTGACTCAGTGAGGCAGGTCATCAACACTGGGAAGATCTGTGTGCTCTGTCTGCACACACAGGTACACACACACACACACACACACTGATTACACAGGGTGGTGTAGTGATGGTTTTGGTTGAATCCTTATGTATGTTGGTGTGTGTGTTTACAGGCTCTAAAGGTGCTGAGGAGTTCAGACTTAAAGCCTTACATCATCTTCATAGCCCCGCCCTCCCAGGAAAGACTCCGCGCCCTATTGGCTAAAGACAACAAAAACCCAAAGGTGCCTGTCTGACTGTTTACACTTCCTGTTTACACTCAGTCAACACACATATCGCCAGTGTTAATGTGTGTGTGTGTGTGTGTGTGTGTGTGTGTGTGTGTGTGTGTGTGTGTGTGTGTGTGTGTGTGTGTGTGTGTGTGTGTGTGTGTGTGTGTGTGTGTGTGTGTGTGTGTGTGTGTGTGTGTGTGTGTGTGTGTGTGTGTGTGTGTGTGTGTGTGTGTGTGTGTGTGTGTGTGTGTGTGTGTGTGTGTGTGTGTGTGTGTGTGTGTGTGTGTGTGTGTGTGTGTGTGTGTGTGTGTGTGTGTGTGTGTGTGTGTGTGTGTGTGTGTGTGTGTGTGTGTGTTGCAGCCCGAGGAGCTGCGGGACATCATTGAGAAGGCGCGAGAGATGGAGCAGAGCTGCGGACATCTGTTTGACGCCGTCATCGTCAACACGGACCAGGACAAAGCCTTCAACGAGCTGCTGAGACTCATCAACAAACTGGACACTGAGCCACAGTGGGTGCCCTGCTCCTGGCTGCGCTGAGAACACACACGTCATAAAGTGACAATGGAGTACACTTTGATACATTCAACCAACTGGAACCTTAAGCGCTGTGTGGGAGTTACACAGAGTGTCTGTTAAGGGAAACTAATCTGAGATTTTGAGAGTTTCAATGTTATGAGAAAACATATCAGTGGTGGAGAGTCCTAAAACCTGGAAATTAGTTATCATTATAGAACTTGTTCTTACTCATCTCAAAGCTTTTTGAACATGTTTTGGATAGATGTCTGATTTAAGGTCTGTGGTTACCACGAGCTGAATATATTTTTCACGTTTTGTCCTACGACATAAAATACCTCAGTAAACACTCAATTTAAAAACGGCGGTTACTAACAAGTGTTTAAATGAGACGACTAAACGTCATCACACCCAACATTAGCTGCCTTTAGCTTAGCGGTGTTGATGTGAAGTCATGTGACCGTGATGTGGTTTTATAGCCTTAGCGTTTGAGTTCAGAAGATTGCATTTACGAGTAAAACATTATAAAAGTGGTGTTAAAATGTGGAGATTATCCAGCTGAACTAAAAGTGTAAGTATCCTAAACGTGTGATCTTACTTTCTGCAAGTTTCCGAAATCAAATTTTAAAAAATCCCATTGCTTTTTGTCACAGTGCGCTTCCTACAAAAAACACTTTATAGCCTCAGTTCATCTAAATCTCCTCATTACACACATAAAAGCTAATATCTGGAATATTTCTTGTAAATCTACGACTTCATTATATTGCCTTATTTCTAACATTTTTTTTTAGATAAGCTTTTATATAACAATACTTACTTCTCAAAATGTTCTGTTCAAATCTGGTTTATACCATATTGCCAAAAACTACAACAAAAAAACGAGAACTACTTTAAGCTTTCTATCAATATATATATAAGGATTTAAAATGTTAGGATTTTACATTGCATACAGTACATATATTATATTATTACATAATGACTTTTAAAAAAACCTAAATCTCAGATTAGAGTTTGTCTTCGCATTGACTCTAATGACGCTAAATAGCACACAGTCAGCATCCTGTAGAATGTATTAACCAGGCACTGATGATAATACTTCATGCTATATAAACCTTATGTGTATTCACTATCCTTAAAGGGAGAGACCCTCACTGGGGTCTCGCACACACTCATCTTCTAATCATCACACTGTAGTGAGACCAAAACATGGACCTGGAGAATCCTTTCTTCTTGTTTTATTTTAAGAGAGGAATGTGGGGCCTCATCAAAGTTGCATTCTTTTGTCTTGTGACCATTTCAACCATAATAATTCAACATATTTAAACTATAACAGTCCACTTATTTAAACTGTTTGCAGTGCTTAGAATATATGAAATTAAAATCAAATCAATCTTCTTATTTTCTTATTAAGGTCAAATAAACGAGGCCCCTGGTGAGCAATAACTGTGACACTAATTGAAATCACTGAGCCACGGCATTCACTGCTATGAAGAACACACACTCACACACACTCTGTATGAAGCAGTGTATGGACTCCTCTGACTGACTGACTGTTGAACAGACAGCTCTTCACGATTTCCAATGAACACTGAGATAAAGGACACAGCACTTGATATTTTCTCTTTCACTTGTTTCTGACTGACTGTCCCGTCTTATCACATTAAGTAGAGATGACCTCTGACCCTGAGCTGCTGGGTAAAGAAACCGTGAACGTTTTAGTCTTTAGCTGGCACATGATGCTGAATTTATGATATATTTTGTGTGTGCGTGTGAACGAATGTGTGTCTCAAATATGATGACCTGACAAAGTATCACTGTTATCACTGGGTAGAGCATTTATATATTTGTTATATTGAAGATAGGTTTATGAAGTCCAGAATGCACCAATAGGATCGCAGGTCCCACCTTTCGCCATTCGTTAAGGAGGAAGAGGGGGCGGGGCTTCACTGTATTGAATGTAAAGTGAATGGACACCACTTCCTGTTATCAGAAATCCCTTCTCCTGAGTAAATCTGTATGAATATTCACAATGAATAAATAAATAGATGATTGATGAAAAATTACTCGCCTTGTGTATTTTGTTTAAAATTATACTTTTTTCCCTTAAAGTTTCTCTCCACACTCCCCGACCCCCCCCCCCCCCCCCCCCCCCCCCCCCCCCCCCCCCCCCGCCTGACACGCCTCCATTGGATCATTTTCTTACATCTGTAACGTAGTGACATCACAATGTAACACTCGCACTTCTATTGGCAAGTGCTCCTAGGAATTGTACGAGATAGGCTAACAGGTGGGATATCTCTAAGTAGTTGACCAATCACAACGTAGTTGACCAATCACAACAGACTAACCAATCAGAGCAGACTGAGCTCTGGTTTCAGACAGGGTGAAAAGAGGCAGTATTAGAAAAATAAAGAGCTTTTTGAACATGAAATCATGACATGTCACAGGAGAGACACTACATACTAATACCTGAAAATGAGCTGAATACGTCCTCTTTAAATACGTATTCACCACTGTAATGTACATGTAATATATTGTAGTACAATGTGCACATGTCAAGTAAATAACATGTAATGTCATTTCTTATCAGCTGTTTTACATTGACGTTTCGTCACTGTAAAACACGCGGTAGCTCCGTCTACATTTACTGCACTTTATTCCACAGTAGCACTCATTTAAGTGGTACTAAAACATAAGTACCAGTTACTCGGTACTATCCACAATTGTTCCTAATAGAACACCAACACACAGCGAGTGGAGTTGAATAGAGCTGTCCCGTACCATTCAGTTGAAGCATTGCACCATAAATGAGTCTGTGGAAGAGGATTAGGGCTAAAGAATGTTGACATCTGACCAAAAGTGATTTTATGAGATTTAGATCAGAATTCTGAGATTAAAATCAGAAATCTAACTTTTCTCTCACAATTCAGAGATTTTCAGAAAAGTCAGAAATATTGTATTCTCTGAATCCTGAGCTTAATCTAAGAACAAAAACAATTCAAAACGTTTTCCTCGATTTCAACATTGTTTCAAATATGCCCCTAATCCTCTGTGTTACACTGATACTGAGGAGGATTTTCTGCTATGCGTTGTAGTAACGTGAGAGAGCCACACGGCGGCGCTGTTCTGCAGGTTATTGTTGCCATGTGCCATGCTTCAGTTTACTTTCTCAGCTCTACCACTTCACTTTTTAATTTAGTCCAAATATAGCTGCTCCTTTGATTTAGCAACATGTGTGTTTGCTGCATGTTTGGTCTGGTTCTGAACAGGAAGTTGCTAAACCGCTTCTTTCCTGTCTGATCATGCCAAATCAAAGACTGGCTGATTTCCCCTTTAGCCTCACCCTGATACACCCTTCTTTCCTTCACAGCCGACTGCACTGAGATCAGCAGCAAAATCATCTTACTCCACTTACACAGTACATTCTTCTCTATGTAAACTACAATGGCAAGAGGATCATGTTTAAATGCTTTTGGTTTCTTTATAAAAGACTTTACAGAAATTACATTTATCACATAGAAATCAATTGTTGTCAGTGACAATACGTTACATTTTGCTCTAAGGGAAGTCCCCTAAGGCTAAAAGACCTGGAAGTGGTCCTACAGTAATCCTTCATTTTATTTGTATTCTATGAATCCCTTCCCAGTCTGCTCCGATTGGTCAACTGCTTAGAGATGTCCCGCCCATTAGTTTATCATCTACAATTTGTAGGAACCTAACCAATAACAGCTTACATTATGATGTCACTATGTTACTACAGTAAGCAAAGGAGTGTGGGGGAGAGAAACCCCCTCTGGAGGGAACACAGGGATTTTAGCCTTTGCAGACCATTTACATGCACTAAAACCTATAAAACACTACAAGAGAGGGAAACCCCCAAAAAGCATAATAGACCCCCTTGAAGTTAACTTTGTATAAACTCGCCTTTAATATTTATATTACACAGATGCCACCTCTTTCTTTCTGCATTGTAATTTCACTCTGATCCTCAATCACTTCTAATCTTATTTTGTGCACAGGCCATCTCCAAAATATGATATCTTAATTCTGAGTCCTCTATTCCTTTTAACCAAAGGATAAATAGGGAACAAAGAAAACATAGTCAATCTTATTACTAGTGCTTTCATTATAGCAAAACCAGTGTAGCTCAATATATTACTTGTGTAAAATAGTCCACTAATTTCAGGGTACCAAAAAAAAAGTTTTCTATTTCAGGATCTTCTTCAAGATGTTAATTATCGTATTGCTTTTGTGCTCTTTGGCTCGCGACAGAAGGCGGTGACGTAAGACTGAGAATAAAAAATGAAACTGCGCAGTAATTGGCTGATTTACCAAATAAGGGCGGGGACTACACTTTTACAGCAGCCGATTGGTCTATTGTGTTGTCATTCATCCCTTTCGTTCCTTTTGTCGCACGGTCAGGTTGATGGAGAGAAAGGAGGGTATAGAGCGATAGAGGGACGTGGTGGAGATGTAACAAACAACGGAAACAACTATTTTAACGTTTTATGTTTATCTATCGTGTATTTAAGTTTTATCCACTTTCTTTACTTTTCTTAACTTATTTCACGGCCGTTTTTGTCGATTTACGTTCCGAGTCGTGTATCCTTGGCAACGCGAACTACTGTCCCGAGAAGTTTGGATCAAGTGTTACACCTTCAACCGGAAAATAAACTGGATATTTACCCGCCGAACTAACGGAACTGACTCCGGTGTGCATATGGAAGCATTTCAAACAGTTTGGATTCAAATTCAACGTATTTGATTTTAAACCCAGTGTTTTGGGAAACAGGACAGCGCGAGACAATAGTGGCGAGAGAGGGAGCTCGTGCAGGGGGGAATCGATGCCTCGCGGGGGCTTTGTTCTACCGCGAGCCTTCTGCTGAGACCGACTGATGGCCGCTGGATTTATGAATATTTACTGATTAATTAACGGAGTGAAAAGCCTTTGGAACAACATGGACGTGACTCTGTCCGAGTTACTGTCCACTTTCATGCAGTCTCCGCTGGTGGTGTGGGTGAGTGGGAGCAGCACGCACACACGCACACACAAACACTTGCTGACCTCTGACTCTTTTTAACTTTCTCTGATGTCTTTCTCTCAGTTCGGCTACATTTCTTTAAAACTACAATACTGTAGTAGAAACACAACTTTGCCCTCCATTTTACCATGCTGCAGGAGCTTGCATTATTAACCCATTGAGAGACACTGTTCTGACCGGTACATTACAGTACCAGGGAAAGTACTTTCAGAGTCAAAACAGAGTCACTACATGATGTTTTTCCTCACTGGTTACAGATGCTGTTTCTTTGTCCTTCTATCATATTTTGCCCAAATAATGATGACCAAGAGCCTCTCCTATAGTCGGCATGTCCAAGTGTGATACTGTCAACATATGAATCAGAGCAAACATTACTGCAGCTAATTGAAGAAAACTAGCATAGCTTCAAACTGGGACTGAGCTATCCATTGCTCCAAACTAATGGAAACTCGACCTAGAGTAATGTAGCAACAGTTAACCCATTTGCAAACAGAAATGTGTCACTTTTTATGGATATATTCATTTACAGGCAGAGAAACTCCCTCTGGAGGGAACACAGGGATTTGATCCTTTGCACAGCATTTACATGCACACACACCTACAGAACACACTGCAGGGAAGGGAGACCCCAACAAGCAGAATAGGGCTTCTTCAAATGTGAAGTTAACAGCATTTCACTTTCAGTATAGCTCTTAAAGAAGGGTTCCCACTTTGAACACAATGTTGATGCTCTGTTGGCGCCCCTTAACTTGTTCTTTGCAAGGATGCATTCAAATGTTTAAATGAAGCTCCTCTAAAGACAAATAAGTGTGTTTTTAGTGCCAAATATCCGCCTCTTCTCACTACTGCTCGGCACTCCAGCAAGGAGGCATGTTCATACTTCAACAGACTGTAACTCTGGAAGACACTCAGTTAAACGAACAAGTTCTTATCATGACCCTGGCTCCAAAATGGAGGAAGAATATTGATATCACGGCTGCAGAAAGTCTACCCTCCTCTCCTGTTGCATACTTGAAAGTGAAACCCACCTGTTTCTTGGCCAGTTTAAAACCCCCCAAAAAACCTTTTCTCTTCTATATGTAGCACTAAGAAATGCTTGGCCTATTGGGAGCTGATGTCCTTGCAGGGTTCTTGCTTCTGTGTGTTGGTTCCTTCTTGGTTGAATGCACTTAATGCAAGAGCCTCAGCTAAATGTAACAGCTATTGTAATGATCTGGAAACTCAGTATTTGGTACGATGTCATCAAGCATTTCAAGTCAAAAGGGAAACATTGAAAAGACGTGTGGTGTAGTAACTTGTTTCTGTGTGTGTAGGTGCGGACGCTGGGCCCTCTGGGTTCCTGTGAAGACGCGGGCTCAGAGGAGCAGGTGAACATGTTCATGGAGCTGGTGGACGGCGTCTTCCTGCACAAGATCATGACACACATGTAAGTAACCTCACAGTGAGGGGTCCACATTTTATTTGCATGAGACAGTGAAAGAAGTTCTGTGATGTGTATCTGGCCTGGGTATATGAACGGTAATCAGCTAATCCAGTATTTCCTGTGTGTGTGTGTGGCCGAGCATTACTATACTTGTGGGGACCTAAATCTGTCTACACAGTCACGTGTGGGGACTCGCCTCCCTTATGGGGACATAATGGAGGTCCCCATGAGGAGAATCGTTCATTTTAGGGTGAAGACTTGGTTAGGATTAGGGTTAGGGTTAGGCATGTGTTGGTTATGGTTAAGGTTAGGATAAGTCTCCAGGAAATGCATGTAAGTCAATGTGATGTCCCCTGAAGTGATGTATGGTATGTGTGTGTGTGTGTGTGACCACATCCTGACTCGCTGGTTTCAGGTTGTAAATGTCACAGCCAGATGTGCTGCTGAAGTCTGCATAAAGAACATCACATTATAAGAGAGAGCCTAGTTAGATCATTAACAGTGCCTTTAGAACTGACCCGCTGTCAGTTTGTACTTTGGCTCAGGAAGTGCACAGTAGCAGACAGGTAGTACAGCGGAACTGTTGACATCTTGCCATGATGACACATACGTACATATAAATGATAAATCAATTCATTTATAAGCGCTTAATTCAGTCTTTACTACTCCTTAAAGTGCATTTACATACAAATCAGCATTCATACCCATGCATACAGAGGCAGGCTACCATGCCTCCTGTTCAAGGAAGCTAACATTCATTAGGTAACATTAAGTATCTTGCCCATCACAAGCTGAAAAATATTTGCGTTTCTGTCAAGGCTGACAAATATTATTTTCCTTTCATTCTTTATAAATTGGAGCGACACATTTGGGCACTAAGTCTGTCCCGACTGATAATAACGGCATCTAAATCTCCTCCCACCAGACGGCCCTCTGTCCCCAGTCACCCCACATGTTCATATATCAGTTATTGTCTTCGGAAACAATGATAATCACCCTATTGTTCTCCTGGCAATGAATGTAGGCTGGGGGGGTGGGGTCCATTAGGACTGTCGGAGGGGTTTATTGGAAAGTGGGTTACGGGCGAGGAGGCAAGGGTGGAGAGCCAGAAGGAATAATAAAGGAAGCCAGGCAGAGAAGCAGTAAGCTGTCTGAACTATCTTCATTCTGAGTCACACTGAAACAGGCTGAAGTTGAAGTGTTAGTCAACATAGTGTAACTGAAATGAGGGGAGCTGGCATCTGAAATGGATGTGCTGAAATACTTAAAGGTGTCATTTGAGTACAATGAATAAGCTTTTGATGACCTCAAAGTGAAGTTGAAGTATCTGTAAGTGCTGTTTAAACTGTGAAAGTCAAGAAAGAACTTACTCTAACTTGAAGTCAAAGATTGATGTTTTGGCTGAAGTAGAGCTGGAACACACTGTGTATTTCAATGTGTGTGGAATTGTGATTATGTTTTTGTCCAAATGTTAAATGCTAAGACCTGAAAGGGCAAGTGATATTTAAAGTGTGAGCTCTGACATGGTTCAAGGGTCCATTTTAATACAAGTGCAGAGTGATGTTGAAGTGCTGTTTCCTTACATTTCTGTCTTAACCACTGAACCAGATGAAACCTGGCAAATAATAAAAGCCGAGCTCATTCAAAGGAGAATAGATGAAACCATGTGAAATGTCAGTCTGTAACCCTATTATTGTTTGTAGCCTTTATTTAACCAGGTGAAAGCCCATTGAGATCAAAAGATCTCTTTTTCAAGGGTGACCTGCAGGACATTAGTTACACATGTAACGTAAAAACAACAGAACAACAATAAGGATGACAAACAACATAATGTACAGGGTACAGTTTACAAACTCTATTTACAGAGACAGGTACCATGAGTATCAAACAGCATGTCACCCAGCTGAGTTTTAAAATGATGCAGGGGAACCAAAGTGCTCAGTTTTAAACATGTTTGCAGACTGTTCCAATTTAGTGGAGCTGCACAACTAAAAGCTTTCTTCCCTAAGACAGTCCTAGCACTTGGCACATTTAATAAAACAACATCATGAGATCTCAGGCAATATGTACTTTCAATTCGTCGAGAGATCAGAGAGCAGATATAAAAAGGTAGTTTACCCAACATGGCATATTGTTCAGTTACTGTTTTAATAAACCTATTAGTAGATGAAGTATTTTATTTAGCTTCATTTCAGTGAGCAAAGTGCATTTTCCAGGAGCTCAGATGGTAAGGATCCCTTCTGAATGCAAAATGGAAGTTTGTTTTCCAGCCTCTGTGTTCTTATTTTCATCCCCATGAGGCAGCAGACTGACTCCATGACAGTAGGTCAGCCAGACAGCGTCACCCCCCCCGTTCAAATGCAAATCAGTCTGGCCCAGGCTGGCGTGTGTCGGGTATAAATCCTAATCCAACACAATAGTAACCCTGCATTTGGGACGTGTGTGTGCGTATGTGTGTGTAATATGATCTTTGTCTTAAGTAGCACCAATTTACATAAATCTAAGTGCTCCTGTAATGTGTTTGTGTCTCCATAGTGACCCCAGCCCCACCAATCAGAGACTGACCAAGAATGTGAACAATGACGTGTCGCTCCGCCTCTACAACCTGACCGTTCTCACCAGACACATCAGGACGTACTACCAGGTATGCTAACACAAGAGCTCGCAAACTACGGCAGCACTTATAGGTTATTTGTAACCAAATCTCTCTCAGAGGGGCGTGGGGAGGGGCTCTTTATTTTCATCTAGAGCAGAGGTGCCCAGTACCTCGACCGCGGGCAATGCTGGTAGATCGCAAGTCATTCATAAAAAATAAAATCCAGCTCCGTTAAAATAGACAAAACAGGTTTTGATCCCTCCTCCCTTGGCCTCCCTGCCACTTCATTCAGGAGTTTACTTGATTGACAGAAAAAGCGACCTATCGCTTTCCAGTCTGTTAACCCAGAATGCAAAGCGATACAAAATCAGTCAAGTGCCGGGAAAACTCAAATTAAGTTAAAGAGACAAACAACAAAATGAGTGCGGGACCGAGCAAGAAGCTAAAGACAAACCACTTCCACCCAGAATGGGAGGAAGAATATTTTGTTGTGATGTCACATTCAAAGGTTATTTGCCTTATTTGTAAAGCAAGCGTCGCTCTGCCAAAGAAAGGTAACGTGGAGAGGCATTATCGGAGTGTTCACAAGGCATAGCCAGCGACTTTCCCTCCGAGTAGCGAGTTGAGAAAGAGAAAGGTCATGTATTATTGCTACACAAACATTATCTCGCAGTCTTAGTGTCGCCAACTCCTTTCTAACATGCAAAAAAAAAAAAGCGTCAATAGGCGCACTCACACTGCAGTACTTTCCCCACAAAGGTTCATGAGAACTTAGTTCATGAGAACTCTTTAGTTCTCATGAACTAAGTTCAGATCGCGTTCACACCGGAATAAGTCCCTGGGGGTGGATTAGGCAAATGAAGCCGCTGACGTCACTTGTTCTTCTTCTGCTTTGGGTTTACTGGCAGGCCGCAAGCCACTTCAAGGCGTATACTGCCGCCCAAAGTCCCCGGCCGGAAGTCCCCGGAGTTGGGGACTGGCTTCAGTAGAAGCTGCTGGGACTCCCAGCAGCTTCTACTGAAGCCTTCCGAGTAAATCGCCAGAACGCCGACACCTCCTCATCTCCACCGCTCCCATGTTTTATTTTGTGTTGCCATAAGTTAGTCTCTCTGCGTTTCTGCGCTGGGCTAATGCTAATGCTAATAATGCTAATGCGAGGATAATAAAATGGCGGCTTCACAACACTTTTTGGGAGTTTTGCGGGGCGTGGTTTGCAATCCGCCCAGCCAATCAGAAATATAGCTCCTTTCTCACAAAAGAGCCGCTCGAAAGTTCCTGCTCTCTAGCAGGGACTTTCGAGGGGGTAAAAAGGTTCACATGAACTAATTTTAGTACCGGCTCTTTTTGGTGTGAACGCGATAAAAGAGTTCTCATGAACTAAGTTCGCATGAACCTTTGTGGGAAAAGTACAGCGGTGTGAATGCGCCTTATGGTCGGTGTATTTTCGATATTTCCAATCCAGACGAGATCTCTCTCCCGTGCGAGGGGGCGGGGCAGTTTACACACACACACGGCTGCTACATGCAGCAACCATGGCAGCAAAACACGGCGGGGATGGCGGAGAGAAGCGCTCCAAGGCAGCGGCGCCGGATTCCATTCAGAAGTGGGGGGGCCAAAAAGTGCGTGTGTATGTGACATAGCCTACTTGCCAACCTTCCCCGATTTTCGCGGAGACTCCCGTTTTCCTCCCGGGGTCATATTTATCCCGCATTTCTCCCGATTTCTGACTAAATCTGATTTGTTTCATTCTAACATAACGCACCAAATGTTACTGTTTCCACTCGGACTTCAATACAGCTACACCATTGTTTGGTTTCCATGGTAACGTGTCTCTTTAGTATCGCGAGCAAATGAAAGTCTGATGCGGCTTTCACACCAGCGCTTTTCCCTTTCTAGCTCCGAGCTAGAGCTTTTCTGGTTCAGCTCCGGTTTCCCTTTTCTGCTCCCGCTCTGTTCACACCGCCCAGCACCCAACTGGTGCTGCCGCTGCTGCGTCATGACGTCACCGTTTACATCGCTGATTTGCTCCCCAACGGCATTACGGCGCTCACAACAACAACGGGGAACTGTGTCGGGTCGATGATCGTGTTGCTTTTAATCACACGAAGCCAGAATAAATTGAATAACGACTTCTCCAACCTTATACTTGCTCCAGAGTGCCGTGGTTCATTGTTTATTAATGTGTTTCTGCAGCATTTACCGACCGCTGCAGTGTTGGCTGCTCTTCCACGGGAGTTTATTCTCCTCTGTTAGATCCCGGTTAGCTCACACGGCTCTAAAGTATTCACTGTCCGACTCACACAAGCAGCTGATACATATCCCCAGTTCCCCTTAGCCTAAGTGAATGTGTGTCAGTCTGAATTGACGCTGTTTGGTATCACAACGCTGTTATGAAAGTTTCTCTGGTATAAAATGGGTGTGATGTTAGCATAGCAACCGAAAGCTAAACTGACTACTTGCTATTGCTGTCCTATTGTGGCATAAACCGTTTTCTACAGGCACATTTTACCGGCCTATTTTTATTATGATTCTACTTGTGATAGTCGGACACGACAACCTGTGCAGCCCATGTATTGATTCCATCCGATAGCTGCTATAATACAAAACAACACGTCTGTCCCTCTCCACAATGATCAATAACAGTGAACGGATGGTCAAAGTAAGGTACAAATAAACAGAATCACACGAAGCCTGGTTAGTGTTGCCTGACTTTATAAAGTGTGTTTATAAGCACTACTGCTTGTAGGCAGGCATGACGAGACTCTTCAGTCGACCCATGTTCAGGGGAGGTGGGTTTAGTTTCCTGCACGCCTCGACGTAAGAGAGACGTAAGCGACGCCACCTCTTAGCTCCGAAGCTCTTGCCTCTAGACCGACCATTTTTTTGGAGCTGGAAGTGAACCGGATTCCGGAGCTAAGAGCCGGCGCCGCTGCGGTGTGAACAGGAAAAACCGGCGCTTTTCAGGCTCCAGCTCCGAGCCGGAGCTGAAAAAGCGCTGGTGTGAAAGGGGCATGAGAGGGTCTTCAGGAGGAAGATAGTCAGAGAAAACAGAACAAGAATGGACAACTCAACCCTCTGCTCACTCCTTTCCTGTAAATTAAACTATAGGCTACAGACCAGCCCACACATATGACAGCGCAGTTGCTCATTCCATCTATTATTTTTTCCAGTTATTAACTCGGTATTTACAAAGCTGTCATCTCCACATTTGGAGAAAGTTACAAGCCGTTTGACAGCAGCACATCTGCATATTTCACAGAAGGCTCGTTTAGTGGTTTTGCAAAGAATTAACCACTCTCTGTTTTTTGTACATTCTGCATTGAAGTACCTTCTCTTTGCCCAAATAAGCTTTTATTGGCCCGTCACAATGTCCCGACAACAAACCCCATGCAGTCTGAACCAGCCTGTTTCGGTTCAACGATGCCGGCGGCGGCGGTTTTGACAGCCTCTGCGGCCGCAGAGCTGCTGCTGGGGTTCATCTGGCTGCGCTGGTTCTATGGTTGAAGGACCAGGCTCCGAGAGTGTGGATGTCAGGGATGTGACATTCAAGTTGTTGAATTTCAGCTTAGTTTGACTGTATTTAGTTTCTTATGCGCCGGTTCTTCTGACATGTTTGCAAGTTTATCTATCTAGGTTAACGGCTGACACACACTGAACAACGTACACACATAACGTAACAAATAAACACATCTAAGCTTTGTTATTGGTTGTAATGTACATGGATACATTTGAATGGTGTGATAATGTCCTATTTGGTTGGATTAAAATGTACATATTCTTCCTGTTATGTCTGCCTGCTGTATTTTACCTAATGCAAAGTGACCTGGTCCATCGAAATCAGTCGCATTGATCCGAAGACACATTAGTTGTATACACTGTTGGAAAGAGGAGATTCCTAGCTTTCTAATGATATCAGGATTGTTTTTGTACTATATTAAGCAAAATATGTCACATTATATAATGACTGTCACCGAGTCATCATTTTGAGAAAAAGGCCTTTAAAGTTTCCTCTTCTCTGGATCGATCTGATTGATTATTAGCGGAGCAAATGTTAATGTCAAGTTACTCCGTTCTCCGCTTGTAATTATGCCGTTAAGCTTCAAAGCTGTATTTATCATCTGAATTTGCCGAAACAAGTTTAATATTCTGAAAGCCAAGACTTTGTTTATTTGAAATCAGATGATAACAAACTGTAACGGACCCTGCGGTGTTATCTATGATTACTATGCCTAACGGCCCGTCCACACTACAGCGTCGACAGCTTCAATCTGCCCATTCACTTTGAATGGGGTGACGTCACGTTGCCTTGCTTTTTCGCCGAACTGAATTGTGGGTAGCATAGCGGTCCGTCTCCGCCGGAGTAGCCAGCGCCAGCCAATCAAATCCCGTTTCGGAAAATCTGACAGCTCAAGCCGTAGTCAATCAACCGCGTCTAAGCTGGGAGAGATATCCCGCCGTTCATTTCTATATTTCAAAAAAAGATGGAGGAGAAACTAATTATCGCCGTAGCGAATCACCCGGTTTTGTATGACCAGACCCTCTTCACCTACCGGGATACAAACCGGAGGAACCAGGCATGGAGGGAGGTGGCAGAAGACAGTGGGTGAAACTGTAGGTTTTTCGCCTGTTTGGGGGAGTTTATATATATATTGCTCCCATAAAATCCCCGGGGGTTTTTGCTTTGTATGTCGGGAGCGGGAGATTCATGTGATTGGTTGTTGGTCGCGTTGCTTGAATAAAATCCCCAAGCTTCAGACACGCCCAGCTCCAAGCTTTTTTTGAAGCTGTAGTGTGGACGCTCCGTTACATTCATGATGTCAGCGGAGGGAGGGGAAGCGGCGCTGTGTTCTGCTGCGAAAATGTGGGGCAGGGCCGTAAAGTGGGGGGGCCAATGGCCCCCTGGCCCCCCCGCTTCCGGCGCCCTTGCTCCAAGGTGTGGTTAAATGTTACCCGTCTTGGGGTGGACAATGCTCGTTGCCTAGAGTGTTTAGCATGTAAGGGCGGTAACGCGAGCAATGTGTCTAAACATTTAGCAAAAGTGCTCCACA